AGCTTCTAGAAACAGATTGCAACTTCCAGAATTTCCAACCTTTGTGGCCTTTTGGAATTTGGGAATCCAGACTTTGTGGAGGAAGCCTGTATTAAAAGAATTCCCTTCCTCTTGTCATGGTCACTCAGCATTGCTCGATGCTCCCACCCTAAATTCTGCATTTTCAAGTGTAGAAAGACAAGGTTCCCCATACATTGAACTTAATTATACCCTGCGCTTTATTTGACAACAGAATTCTTTCCTACTGTCTTCTTCTAGAGGTCTTTCAAGTTCCCAGACAAGCCAATGGTCCTGAGATTTCCTGAATGTCTCATTGAGTTCTAAAAGTCACCTGCTACAACTACTTTAAGACTGTATGTAGCATGATCCTGTAGATCTGTTATCTAAACAACTCATCTATTTCAGATAATTCTGAGAGTTTACAACTGATACATAGCTAAATCAACTTTGCATATTTTTTAAAAAAATAATTACAGTGCATGTTATTAAATTGCCTTGTCTTCAAAATAGTTTAAGAATTTCAAACATGATTTTCGAGTTCTGCTTTTAATGTAAGTTCACAAAAGCTTTAATGTGCTTTAATGATTTTTAATAAAATAGTTTAGATCAAACATCAAGATCTTTTTTAAAATATCTTAAAGGTAAACATTTAAGATATGTATAGTGTAAAATATAACAGCTTGTATGTATAGTGTAAAATATAAGTTTCTAACATACTCTAAGTAGTTAAACTACACTTCAAAAATTTTGGAGAATTTTATACCTGGCAAATCAATTAAGGATGTGAAAGTTGAGAATGCCATTCCTTACAGAATTTACACTAAGCAACTAGCCCTGAATGTATTGCTCTTTTGACACATTACAGTTAATGTTTTTGAATATTAGCATTCAGTTTTCTTTTAGATGTAATTAAATGTAATTATAGGTTTCCACTATGCTGCAGTACAAATGAAAACACCAATTATAAAAACAGCTAAACCAATAGTTGAATCCACAGTATAAATGAACCCAATTATTAGTTAATGGGATTTAAAAAGAGCTTATAGGGTTTTTTTAAAAATGAAGTTTGCTAGCATGCAAGCTTCTATGTAAGCTATTTATAATATTTATAATTTTGCTTGTATTTCAGTTTCCACAGTTTTAAGCACATAGGATTATTTTTGATAACACTTGTTGAGTAAAGAATAACACACAACTAGCACACAGATACACTGTATAGTAAAATGTAGGTTTTTACTTCCAATAAACAGTTTACGTGTAAGATGTATGTGTGCACCTACACTGTCACAAACATAAATCCTCTTCAAATTCTCCCAACACCTAGCAGCAGACTCTTCTCCACAAATATGGACTAGCTGCTGGTCACTCAGTATTAGTCCAATTATACAAAGAGCTCGTTCGTTGTTCTGTTTAAAGTCAGCAATCTTCTTGGCATCGTCCTCATTATCTGGATCCCAAGCATTTACATCCGGTGGGTCTTGAACTACATTCCATAACCCTTCTCTATGCAGAAGTAGACTGCACTTCACAGACCAGGAAACATAGTTTGTCCCATCCAACCGGGTTATCAATGATAGACTTGCTGTCTGTATCCAGTACTGTGCATTCACACCAACTCTCACTTATCTGAGCCAGGTATGGCCTGGGGCCCATAACCAGTGTTGAGGTAATTCCCTGTTAGGAGAATGAGCGCACACAAGGAGACGTAGTAAGACTGGTGAAGAATAACACACAACTAGCATACAGATACACTGTATAGTAAAATGTAGGTTTTTACTTCCAATAAACGTTTAAGCAAAGTCCAAAACAAGCAGTCCAAGTCATTCACAGTTAAAGCAGTCAGTTTTCAGTCCAGGGATAATCCAAATAACAAAGTCCAGTATCAAAAACAGTTCAGTAACAGACTTACATCAAATCCAAGAATAACAGTCAATAGGGAAAAATGGAGGAACAGCAACACTCTCCAGAAACACCAGAACAGGAACTAAACAACCCAGGTTTCTGGCTCCATCTTATGGCCATTTGAGGAACCACACCCAATTACAGTTTTAGCATTCCCTTAAAGAGACAGTATTAAAATGTCTATCCTGGTTTATATATTTTCCAACCCAATTATTAGGTGACTTACATTCCTAACAACACTGGCAAAAGTCAAGTTGTCTCCTGCGGGTGATTTCAATAAAGTTCCAAAATTCCCATTCCTTCAAAATATCAACTTTTCTGTTTTGCACATTGCAAGCGGAGATGCCCATATGGTAACAAAAATGAGTATGGTGGGATATTTTTTAACTAACACATTTTATTAAAAGATGGTTTGAAAAAATGCTCCCAGACCCTTGTTTTGCAAAGTTATTGCATGCAGTCAAGGTGCGTGATACGTGCATGCTCTGACTTTTCCTGGAATGGAATTATATTTAAACATCCTCACAACAGCAATGTCAGAGATGATGATGAAGCAGCAGCAAACTTATATCTTAAAAACAACAGCTGTTTGGAATGACTACTTTTCCTCTTAATTTTCAGCATTTTTTGCTATTTTTAAGTTGGGAATAAACAAAGAAACAAGTACCCAATCTTCCATTTTCTGTCCTCCTCTGAGCTTTTTTCTTGATTGTTTTATTGAAATCATTATGTCTTGTGCTACTTTTGTGTTTTTTAGTAACGAGTAACATTGTACACATCATGCAAATAACGTGACTTGCCCTCTTGCATCATTCCATTTGCATTATTTTCATATCATTGTGTCTTCTTATGGATGCCTAAAGAGATGACCATAAAGTCACCAGGAATAATTTGATGACATTTTACCTTCCTATTTTTTAATTAACTTTTTAAAGAACAAATAAAAATTACAGCACTTTGCAAATATAATTTAAATAAGATTAAAGAATGCAAATAATTAAATCATACAAACTGGTAACTAGCATGTATGAAAAAACAAGTGGAACAAATAAAAACCAGTGGAATTCAGTAAAATTAATCTTGTTGAATTATATAGGTGATGTTTCAGAAAGCTGATATCATTGGTTTTGTAATACTGTATAGGATTCTCCAATCCTTCATTCCAAATCTATTGCATATTATGTTATTATGTTTAAAATTGTTGATAATGTACAATATTAAACCAAATAATTGACCTGATTCAAATATTTTTGTGAGGATACCACTACAAATAGGCAGAGTTCAGATGTGCTAATTAGTGAAAAGCAATGCTTGTGTTCATGCCATATACAAATTTCCCAAATTTCATTTTAATTTAAGCTAATGGCCTGATTTGTATGATGTTAGGATTGTGTGGATTTGACTTTGGTTTAGCTAATCTAGTTGTTAAACCATGGCTTAATATGCTATGTCAGCACAGCTGCACAATGAGGTATCTCCACAGAGACATATATTAAATAGGACCAATACTTATCTCCTTCAAGTCAAGTTGCACTTCACCAAAGCTGTGCTGATATAGTTCAGAGATTTATGGCTTATTTAGCTATGAGTTTGAGTTAATCCAACTCCATAACCAATTTCAGCCATAAACAAGCCATGTTGTACATGTTGTACTTGAGATAAACTCAGCCAGCCTGATATGTACTCCCTGATCTGGCCAGTATTTTCAAATAGACTGGGGTGTGTTAATATATAACCAATTCTGACATTTCATTCTATTAAGTTTCCAATCAGCCTCTGTGGGCAATATGTTTCTTTTACTGATACCAAAATGCATTATTTTTCAGCACAGGCAGCTGATCAATTGTTGATGAAGACAAAATAGAAAACCAGTGAGGGGCACCAGGAATACAACAGGTGACAACCCTGATCAGGCCCACAGTTAACATTTGACAGGATAGAGTTGTATTAACAGTATTTTAAGTTTTTCTAGCTTGCCTTTTAATTCCATGCTATGGTTTTATACAATCACATAAATAATACTTGGTATAAAAATAAAGAAGTCATATTGCAATATGGAGATACAAAGCGGTTTTACTACCTCCCAAAACAGGCACATGTATTTAAAATTAAATTTATTCATTGGGACTTGTCCTTGAATAAATCTGCTTTGGGAAACTATGTCCTCAAAAGATTTTTAACACAGTAGCACAACTCTGGGGAAAGCATGTTCCAGAGCAGGGCTCTCTGCAGTTCCAGTCTGAAAAAAGGTGGACTTTGGCCCACTCAATGATGTCTACTATTGTGCATCAAGCGTATATGCCTGCAGATATTTCCTATTACTATTTAGGTCGCATTGAGAAGACTTCAGGGTCTTTCATGGTATTTGGCCTGGTCAGTTTTGGCAAAGTGGGATCCCCGTAAAGATTTCTACAAGGTAACTACCAGCAGTTTGAATTGGGCCATATATTAGTACAGCAATCTCAAAATCATTGATATCCTGAAATGGCTTTTTGAGCTCATTTGACATATTGCTAACGTTGTTGGTTACTCCCACAAAACGGTTGCCAATTGCAAAACACTAATAACCCAGAAGGTAAAACAAAACCCTACGCTTCAGTTGTCCTTTTTTATTAAAAAAAGTGCACCTGCAATGTTGCTGCTCTGCAGCATTTTCCCTCCAGCTTTTTTTGTTTTTGTTTTTTGCTTTGTTTCAATTAAAAACCTATTTATAAATTAAGTAGTCGTTGCAGACACCGAGGAATATTTCTGCGGGCGCACCGTTGCTCCCCAGCGTGACGCTTCTTTACGACGACGGCCGAGCTGACCGCTTGAAAAAAACGGGGGTGAGGGGGGAAGAAAGAAGTAACTCTTGGGGCTGGGGAATTTGCCGACTGCGGGTTTTTGATTTTTCCTTGCCTACAGAAGTCTGGCCGAAATATGGCCGTTCTGGAAAAGGGCATAAAATGCCATGCCATGTCTGGCTATCGCTGCAGGAACCAGTCCCACACCCCAGCCCATCTCCTTCCCCAGCCGGGCTCCCTCGATCGCCCTCCCCACCCCGCCTCCAAAGGAATTTCTCCCTCTACCGGCACGAAGAACCCACGGCGGCCCGCTTCTTTCTCTCCGCCCTTCCAACGGCTGCCCGGCCGCCAGCAACAGCTTAGAAAGGAGGAGCCGTGGCGCTGGGAGGAGCGAGCTCGGGTGCGATCGGGTGGCCTTGCTGAGGCTGGACGAGCAATCGGGCTAGCTGAGGAGAGCGAGCGAGACGGTTTCTGGAGGAGCAGCAGCCGCAGCCATGCCGGTAGGTACTTGCCCACGCGTGAATCCGAGACTCGGGCTGGGGCGGCGAGGGAGAAAGGAGGCCGAGCCCCGTGGAAGGCGCTGCAAAGGAAGTTTCCCGGCGATCCTTTTTGCTGTGCAGCGGCATCAGCCCTCCGGTGCCCCCCTGTTGTTTCCTATCTTTGGGGGAAGAAGCCCTTCGCCTTTCGTTGGGAGAGAGTCCCGTTTAGCTTACTCCCTGGTTTGATCTCCTACCTCTGTAAGATCTCCTAAATCGACCGATCGCGCGGTGGGAGGATGGGCGAGAGGGATTGTCACAAACCTTTGCTGTGGCCTTTGGTTGGGCTATTTAAGCACTGATAACAAGAGGCTGCTTCTTCCCCTTCCCCAGGTTGATGTCCAGGTTGAATTCCCCGCCAAGCCATCTTAATACATCTACATCTAGGCTAGGGCATCGGTTTGGGAAAGGCTGATGTGGCAGCTTTTTTTTTTTTTTCCTTTTCCTTTTTCAAAATTAGAATTAATATGAGGCTTGTTATCAGAAATTAGTCCTTTTGGACAACGGATTTTGCAAATGTGTTTTAGACCTCGCAGTTGTATAATACTCTCTACCCTCACCCTCTCCACAAACTAAGGGTAACCTGGAAAATTGTGCTTGGCCAAGCGTCTTTCACACACAGAATCCTGCACTTTATTTTTCTGTCTCTCATGCATATGCACTTGGCAGGACAAATGAATCCTTGAATATGTGTGCATGGGTGGTGTCTTATTTAATACAATTTTCTCTAACTTGGTACTATCCTGATGAGTTTCATCCTATCCTGAGAGTTTTAGGCCAACAAACTTGGCAGATCCAAATGACCTGTCGCCAGGATTGGGAGAGAAGACCTAGTGTCTTCCAGAAACATTTGCCAATTGTTCTCATAACTCTTATTATTGACTATAAAGGATCCATTGTAATTTATATAAATATAGTATACACCCTTCCTGGCTGTGTTCATCTAGGGCTAATAGTATATCTTTTGCTCCGATTCCATATAAAAGAGCATGTTTTTTTTTATAAAGCCACCTAATTTGCTTACTTTAGGCTTCATTAAAGATATCTGCCAATAAACTACTTAATTCGAAGTATCATCAGTGTCATCTCAGGCCATTGTGATGTATAGTAAATAAAATCTCTATCCATTGGTTTTTGCAGATAATTGTGGCCTTCCAGATAGAACTGTTCTGGATGCTCGAAATAAACATAAAGTTTGTATATGTACATATTTATTATAGAAGTTATTAGACACGAGAAATATTCCCCTTACAACAGCCATTTCACGATGGCAACTGCTGCATATAAAATAAACAGCAATTTCTAACTAGCCATCTACAGTACAAAAATTATGATAATTCCTAGCTAGTAGTCAGTCCGGCTAGACATTATTGAATTAAGAGTTTTAGTATAATTCAGGAACTTTGGTTTGGAAAATAATGTACATGAATGCTGTATTGAGTATAACAACATCCCAGTTTGGTAAACCTGACAATACTTTTTTAAAGAGAAAATGAGCATTTGTAGCAGCACATAAACTGGACATAGGCCTCAGTTGGTAGCGTTAATTGAGTAATGATGGATTGCAGTAAACTATTTGTATTATTATGATACTAGTCCTTAGTTAAACTGGGTCTCTACATTTGCATGACATGAAACTGATTGCGTAGACTGGGTTTGTACAATTCACAAAGATACAACATGGGTAAATTACATTTTTGTCTATTTCATTCTGCAACCCAGCCTTGTACTTATAGCAGAGGTAGGAAATTTTGAGAAGTAGAAACTGCACTTTGGGGAAGAGGGGCAAGAACCACTTTGGGGATAAGGTGGAGACAGATCAAGATTTATTGGGTTTTGTCCCTTGGTTAGGGGGATAGGAAATTTTAAGTTGTAATTTTTGGCTTGTTTAAAGTGTGTAGAAATTCTCAGTTATCCAGGTCATGGTTGTCTCAAAGGTGCTTTTTCAGGAGACAACTGGACTTTCTTGGGTTTTTCTTTTGAAGACATTTTGCTTCTCATCTAAGAAGCTTCTTCATCTCTGATAGGATAGTCCTTCCATTCCCCACTATCCTGTCAGAGCTGAAGAAGCTTCTTGGATGAGAAGTGAAATGTCTTCAAAAGAAAAAACAAGAAAGTATCTTTGAAAAAAGCATCTTTGGGATGATTTTGGCTTGTTTGCTTGTTTTAATTATGCTGAGACTGTTTTTGGACTTCAGCTTGTTTGTGTTGCCTGCCTTAAAATAGCAGGAAACCCCACCAATTTTCAATAGTTAATCCAGGGCTTGCCAAAAAAAAACCCCTGGGACCAAGGGTGGCTCATCATGCTTCGAGATATTCATAGTAAAAGGAGCCCTTCATTTCAACATGTTGACAAATAGTAAAATCTGAAGAATCTCCATCTTCTTGGTCATTCATAGTGCAATTATGGCCTGGAACTCTGATCTTTCCCTGTTGTTACAATAACGTTAGTTGTTTCCTCCATGAGGGCAGAACCTATGTAATCAAAAGTGCTGAGATCTTAGAAAGTGTTATAGTTCCTTTTCAGAACTTGTTCTTCAATACTGCAGCTGCAGTTTGCTTGTTTGTAAACTGTTTGCATTTTGCAAAAGCCACTTACATGGAAATATCCTGGTGATTAACTGATGCAACAGATTAACAGAGCCTGTTCTAGCTAATTTCCAGTCTTTCCTCTGATCTTCCCACTGCCACAAAGTCTGGATCAGATCCATAATCAGCACACTAAGAAGTTTATTGTTGCAGGAGCAGTAATAGTGAAAAAAATATTGATGGTAGGGAAGTTCATCCAATAATTGCAAGTCAAATCTTTCTGCCACTTCTGGCTAATCCAGGGTGATCCAAGTATCTTGTTGCTTTTGTTTGAGGTTTGAGATTGTACTGAGGCAACAGAAGGATGTAAAAGAATGGGATCACTGAGGCCTATGTTCATCCTTACTGCACTGCTACTCAACTATGGCAACTTCCCAGCTTTGTAAAGGACATGGAAGAGCGCATAGGACCGCCATGTGCTTTCTCTCACTCTTTTCTCCATCAGAATTTAAAAGCTAACCACTGTGGCTTTCTTTGTTCTGGATAGAGGGTAGGTGAAAGAAGCACCTTTCTTGTGCTGTTCCTGATGCACTGGCTGCATCATGGGCCTCATTTTAAATAATGGGATATGTGGCCCTAAATAGCTTTATACACGTGTCATATGTAGCACTCACTGTCCATTGTAGTTCAAATTCTAGAATAGGAAACTTGACAGAATCTTGTGGCACCGAAAAGATCAACCAAATACATCTGATTAATTGAGCTGATATCCATGAATGCTTATCCTACTTATGGAACTACCATAAATATGAGAATTTTTAGTTTTCCCATATGATACTTTCCTTGATCAGGCTCGTAGAGTTGGAGGAGACCATTGAAGCCATCGGGTGCAGTTAAAGTACCTCTACCAGTTGACTGCCCATCTTCTGATTTGGTCAATCTGCTTTGACCATTAGCAATTTGCCTTATTTAAGACCATTACTCTGGGTCTTGCATTGAGTTATGAAAAATGACGAGTCATGGCCTTCTGTACGCTAGCCATTCAAAACCACAAAGAGTGCTCAATCTTTCCTTACATTTCTTTCCTTTCTTTTTAGTTAGTCTCTTGTGTAGGATTGAGTTTCCACATCTTAGATCCTCTTTGTTCTCTTATAAGAAACAATTCAAGAAAGAGCTGCCAAGTACAAAAAAGAGAATGGACTGTTGGTGCCTGTCATTTGGAAATTATATCCTCCTGCTAATTCAGCCACAGTTTTAACTTCATTTGCCTCTTTGCAGCTACGTCATGTTGACAGTTCTTATTCACCTTGGGTTCCATAAAGAACATTGCCGAATATTGGTTAAACATAACTAAAGAAATTGAAGTGCAAGGTTTGCCAGATGGTAAGGTAAAGGTTCCCCTCGCACATACATGCTAGTCGTTTCCGGCTCTAGGGGGCAGTGCTCATCTCTGTTACAAAGCCGAGCAGCCAGCACTGTCCGAAGACGTCTCCATGGTCATGTGGCCGGCATGACTAAATGCCAAAGGCGCATGGAATGCTGTTACCTTCCCACCTAAGTGGTCCCTATTTTTCTACTTGCATTTCTTACATGCTTTCAAACTGCTAGGCTGGCAGATGGTACAAATGCATAAATAAAGGCAAACTAAGAGTTCATTCTCATAAAAAATGAAAAGTAAAATAATGGAACTTTCGTGTGTTAACATCAGTAAATCTCTGGTGTTCGTCTGTCTCTTAGAGGAAACAGGATAGACTCAGAGATTTGGCCCTGTTTATGGCATTAAGACTTGCATCCACTTCTGTCCGCACATTCTTTAAATTGGTCTGATTACGCATTTGGATTCCAGACTTTTCTCCAATTTCAATCTCTGCAAAATGTACTTGAAGTGTTACTTTAAAAACCGGTTAGCCCTTCTCAGAATTACTCTGACTTCTCTCTTTGACTACCTCCCTCTGCAACAAATTCTAGCAAGAGTGCACAAAAAGCCCAGAGACAATTGGATAATTCTCCGAGGGCTGAGTTGTTTACAAAGAATGCAAGCTGTGCTTCACACATTAAAATGTGTGATCCTCTTGCTTCACTTTATTCATTCTTCTAATATACATTTCTACGGAGGTAGTACTGGTGCCAATTTAAGATCCATGTTTTCAGGACTGTGATATATCACACAGGCAAAAATATTAACAAATTATGACAGTCCTCAAAGATTATTCCTAATAAATTACTTAAAGACTCGTCTGTTTCCGGATATTTCCAGATTATATTCTGAAATTGTCATCCTTCTATGATTCCAAGAGTTTTTTATGTGATAGTATATTACAGTGATACCTCAGTACTCATCCTTAATTGGTTCCGGAAGGTGCGATGAGTACCAAATGAATTTTTCCCATGAGGAATAATATAATGAGTCACAATACCGACAAGTTCTACCTTATGCTTTGAATACCAAAAAAAAAACAAATGAGTATTGGGACAAAATTTTCATATCAAAATTCGATGAGTTTTGAGTATCAAATTCAATGGGTTTCAAAGCAGTTGAATACCAAAGTACTAGTGAAAATGCATGTATAAATAAATTGGATTTGAATTCCAGATAGTATAGGTAAAGATTTAATGTTCTTGGGGTGAGAGGCTATAACTCTATAATTTGCAAAAAAAAAACCTGATATATAACGAATAAAAAATCCTATCCTCCAAATATTTAGAATCATACAGAGCAGTGGCCCCCAACCTTTTAGGCACCAGGGACCAGTTCCATGGAGAGAGGTTTTTCTGCAGACTGGAGTGGGCGTGGTTTCATGTGATGTTTGCATCCTACGGATGGGGCTTGTTTGCTCTGCCTGGTTTCTGGCATGCCATTGACCGATGCCAGTCCACGGATCGGGGGTTGGGGACCCCTGATATAGAGATAGCATGGATAACAAGTTGCATAGTGTGGAGAAAACAGATATAAAGAGGACTTTCAGGGTCAGGCACTATAACTGAAGGAGACACAAAATGGAAATACTTTTTCATTCTCTGGAACTTTAGAATACAAGATGTCATGATGGCTACCCTGGAGTTGCTTTAAAAGTAGACTTGATTGTCTGGATTCACTGTTTGTTCAGGGACCTTTCAGGGAGAAAGACTGCGTTCATCATAGGGAAGGTAAAGACCAGTTTTGGATATCAGCCAGCAGCACAAAGCATATTGTTTAGGAAGCATATAAAGAATCACTGTAAATCCCTATATAAACACTTCCTTCTCTGCACTAGCATACATCTTCGTTTCTATTTTTTTGTAACCCATCCTGGTTGATTGATAGAATGAATGAAAGGAAATGTGATTTTGCTTAACATTGTATTTTTTAAAAGTAATGCATTTATAATTTGAAATAACACTTAAAATTAGAGCATAAAATTACGTTTGCATGTTTATGCTCTATAGCAGGGGTGTCACATGTCATCATGGTGGTGTCACGTGATGTATCTGGACTTTCTTCCCCTTTGCTGAACCAGGCGTGGGCATGGCCAGCGTGTGACGCCTCCAGCCAATGGGCTGGGAGTTTGACAGCCCTGTTCTATAGGGTGGAAGATTTGTGAATATTCTTAGTTAACACAATATAGTTAACACAATATTAGTTAACACAATATAGTTAACATATTTAATTGTGCTCTGCGTTGTACCTGCAGTTTAGATCAGAGTTCCCCAACCTTTCTGGCACATGCTTGCCCATCACTTTCGCAGCCTGCTTCTGAAGAGCTCAAGGCCCGATAGGCTATGGACCAGGGGTTGGAGACCCCTGGTTTCGACCATGATGCATTTCAGTAATCTTATCCTTTTAAATCTTGTGATTTCAGAAACATGAGTTCTTCGTGGATATGACCTGTGAAGGATGCCTCAATGCTGTTAGCCGTGTTCTCAACAAATTGGGAGGTGAGAGAAACTTGGCAGACTCTAATATTTAAACCAGACTTTCCAACTGTTCTTGCTTGGAACACCTAGAGTTCTGCCTATAACCTATGTAGAAAAACTGACATTGGAGACATGGATCTAAGCAGTGGAGACTTCTGAAATGCATGTTGATATGGCAGGAAGAGAACTCTTTTGCTAGAAGGACAGATAAGATGATATCCCCTAAAACATTTTTGATAATTCCACCACACTAGAAGAATGTTTTCCCCACTGTATACCTCAGTAAATTCATGTTTTGATGTGTTGAATTTATTATGAAAGAGTGCCTTTCTATTAATAGGAATAGTTGCTTGAACTAAATAATATCTGTTGAGAAAGACACATTGAATTTGCATTTCATTATTTCTAATGAGAAAATGAAGGTGCATCTTCTTTTAATCAGATTTCATCTGCTGGGTTATAACAGACTTTCCTGTAAACTTTATTCTTTTTGCATCATCAAGGACTTGATCCTATATTCGTTTAACAAATTAGTTATTCTATCTAACTTTTGGTCTTCAGAAGACATGTACTACTCTCTTTCAGATCTTAATAGGGGTCCATCCTCCTTCTATCCTAAATTAGAACTGGTATAATGTGGCCTTTGCTAAAGATACCCTATACAGGATATCCTTCCATATTCAGAACTAAATGAAGGCCTTATGAATATGGTTTGGTAAAATGCACTAAGAAGCCTTGTGTTATCTGTTTTATATGTAAATATATTTATGCTATGAGTAAGGTGGATCGAATGAGTTAGGGCAGATAGTTCTTGAGTTACAACTATTCATTAAATCAGGGCTCCCCAACCACCGGTCCGCGGACCGGTACCGGTCCGTGGAACAAATCCTACCGCGCCGCTGGTTTGCTGGGCGCTGCCATCTTGTTTTGATGAAAAAGTGCTTCCGGTGAGCTTTTCCAGGTAGAAAGCTCACCGGAAGCACTTTTTCATCAAAACAAGATGGCGGCGCCCAGCTGATGCCGGTACCGGGCCGCGGCATAAAAAAGGTTGGGGACCACTGCATTAAATGACTTTCAAAGTTGCAACGACATTGAAAAAAGTGATTTATGACCTGTTCTCGCACTGACTACAGTTGGAGCATCCCCACTGTCATGTGATTGAGGAAAACCAGCATGTATTTCTGATGGTTGTAGCATCCTGGGATCACGTGATTGCCATTTGCAACTTTTCCAACTGGCTTCCAACAAACACAATCAGTGGGGGAGCTGGAGTCACGTAATGACCACATGATTAATTTAAACCTTATGTCTAGATAGAGAGATGTTGTCTTTATCTTTTCTAGGCAATATACATGGTTTCCATCAAATTTTGGAAAATATGTATGCCTTTGGAAACATTTTATACAGTCCCTGGAAAATCTGCATAGTTTTTTTCCCAGAAACACTGGAGAATGTGCACACTTCAGCAGAAGCCCAGTGATAAGGTTGTACTTTGACCATGCAGTAAGCAAGATCTCCAAGTAACTTTGGTAATCTGACAAATCAGCTAGGTGTTCTTAGATCAGTATATTCTGTTTGCAAGCAGTGTTGGGCAACTTTAAATAAATCAATACCTGTTAAGTATAATCCAACATTACTGCGCACATTATGCCCGTATATCCACGTAGATAAATAAAACTGTTTTGTAGTAAGGCATAGAAATTAAGCATAATTTTGATCAGTCACAGATTCATATTCTTAGAGGTCAGTTTTATTTCAAGAAAGCCATGCCATTCTCTAAATCCTTTTTGCAGGATTGGGAATTGGGCCGTGGAAGTGGTGGGTGCGAAGCTGCATTTGTGAAAGCTGCACGAAATTATCCCCTCTTCCATCCCACCCCACCCACTGTCACCACTGCCTCCACTGGTCCACTGAGCTGGAAAGGTTGGGACTGCTACCTTAATACATACAGAATAACAGAGCTGGAAGGAACCTTGGAGGTTTTGTGGTCCAACCCCCTGGCTCAAGGAGGAGATCCTATACCCATGATGGCGAACCTATGACACACGTGTTGGAAGTGGCACACAGAGCCATCTTTCCGGGCAAGCCAGCTGTCTCCCATTGCTCTTCCAGGTTACGGTGCATGCATGCGTGCCAGCCAGCTGGTCTTTGCGCGCATGGGAGCGCCAGAAACCAGAAGAGCAGTTCCCCGGCGTACATGAGCACACCAGGAAGGTGAACTTCCCGTTTCGCGCTGGTCTTCTGGTTTCTGGCACATGCACAAAGGAAGACCAGCTGGCTGGCGCTGGAAACGGGAAGTTCAGTTTCCCAGCAGGCGCATGCACACCGGGAAGCTGCTGTTCCGGTTTCCGGCACACCTGCCGGGGAGTTGTTCTGGTTTCTGTCACTCGTGTGGGTGTACCCGCGTTTCCATTGCAACACTCGGTGCCAAAAAGATTTGCCAACATTGCCCTATATCATTTTGCACAAGTGGCTATCCGGTCTCTTCTTAAAACCTCCAATAATGAAGCACCTACAACGTCTGAAGGCAAACTGGTTTATTGTTCTCACTGTCAAGTGAGAAATACCATGCCTGTTATTTCTTTCCTTTCTCAGGTGTTCAGTTTGAAATTGACCTACCCAACAAGAAAGTGAGCATTGATTCTACGCACAGTGTGGATACATTGTTGGAGACTCTGAAGAAAACTGGGAAAAATACCTCCTATCTCGGAGAGAAATAAACATTCAGAGAAATGTTGTTGATTGGGCTTTTTTGCTTTAAGAAAGGTCAGTTGTCAGAATTATTTAAGAACTACTCTCTGAGCAGAACTGAGTATGATGTGAAATGTGCTGGAATAGCAGCCTCAGATGGTAATAAAGTATAATGATCAGATGCTAATTTTGTGAAGACTAACTCTACTGTCTCCTGCTTCAGATTAGCAGAAATAAAATTAGATGTTAGATGTGAAAGAATTCATGTCACATTTTTATATATGTGGTTCTGCCCAAGAGTAGAGACTTTGCATTACCACACCATCATCCTCTTTTAATGACCTCATAATCTCTTGCGGGATGGAGTCTGGGCAACTGAATGGAGCTGAGTGTTTACTGGCCGGATGCCCTTCCTGTCGCCAGTGCGGAGCTTTATTCAGCAGATACATTCTTGTCATGCCCAGAGAGATAAACACACCATCCCTAACACAAAAGACAAAAAAGTTGTATAAGTTATAGCTGGACTTGTGTTGGAGCTGTGAATACACAGGAAGTATCCAGACTAAGCCTGATCCAGCAGATTGCTGAGCAAAGTAGCCAGGGCTGCACATACCTTGCATTTTAGGAGGAGTTAAATCTGTCCAACAAGCAGTTTGGTAAAATGAAGAAGCAAGGTATCAACTTAATCTGGTGTCCTCTTTCCCCTAAAATCTTACAGCATGATCCGTTTTCTATCCAAATTCAGCCTCTGTGCAGAAGTGTGTATGCAGTAGCCATTCATCTCCACAAGGAGAAGTGTTTAGGCCCTTTGTTTATTTAATTTTAATTTATTTGTTAAAACACTTTTAGCCTATTCCTAAAAAGAAAAGTACTCTTTCAGAGAACTGGAGATAGCATTGCTATAAGATTCAGCTAACGCACAGCTCTTTTTTTTCAGTCTTACCTTCTCTTTGGTAAAACTGATTGTACACACTTTCGTAGCACCTCAGCTCTTCTGGCCACCTCAGATCTCTTTCCACATCCAGCCAAAGTGTAAAGCTAAAATTTTGGTATTTCAAAATACAAACCTGTCTTACATGGACTGAATTTCTTCTTTTAATTAAATGAAGCACACCCTCCCTCCCTCCCTTGTACTTTCATCTTAAATGAGTTGAGCTTCAAGTTAGAATTACAGATTGAACATTTTTCCATACATGAATTGGAGAAGAAATCAGTGGGTTGTATACAAACCAAGATGAAGTCACGCAGTCAGATAGGGTCAAAAGCATCATAGAACAAAGTGTCTTAACAGTCTTATGGAAGGCAAGAAGGAAAGGGGCTATACATACTCCTTGGGAAATTATGTTCTAGACTAGAGATGGCCCAAATCCCATGAACCCCCTTCATGGAAGGAGAACTCTTCTTGAAATGATTGGGCTAAATGGACAAAGTAAGTTTTTACAAAGTAGTGCTTGTTCCCAAATATTACAAAACAGCATGATGGGCCTTGTAGATAAATCACTAGCACTGACTATGAATTGGACCTGGTAGCTTAGGTAGCCAGTGCAGCAACTTCAAAATCAATGTTACCCTGTAATGGTGCTGTTGCCTTGCCAGCTACTGGCTATTACATTCTGCACCAAGTTATTTCCAAAGCCTGCCCCATGCAGAACACATTCTAGTAGTCCAAACAAATGGGCTTTATATTTCTATCTTAGTGGGGTTTATTTTTTACAGAGAGATCAGTAGGATCCACTGCTGTGAAGCATGCCATATTTTTTATTTTTGCAGGAAAATGGACAGGATGTGGTCGTGGCAGAAGTAATTCTCAGTCATCCAAGTCATGGTTTCCCCAAAGGTGCTTTTTTTTTTTCCAAGAGGCAACTAGACTTTGGTTTGAAGAAGCTTCTTGAATGAGAAGCGAAATGTCTTCAGAGAAAAACCAGAAAGTCCAATTGCCTCTTGAAAAAAAAGCACCTTTGGGACATATTGGAGTAGCTTAAAGTAAAGGATGAAATTGTAAAAGTGAAGTCAGAAATAGGAACATTCAAAACATAGTAAAAGAAACAATAGTTTGTAGTTCCACCAAATAGCACCAAAGGATGCTAATATTAGGCAATCCAAGTGCATTGTATTAACACCACTTACTGCTATTATGGGGAACCACTGTGCTTATTTTTTATCTATTTACAGGTAGTCCTCAACTTACAACCATTTGTTTAGTGACCATTTGAAGTGACACTGGCACTGAAAAATATGAGTTATGAGCATTTTTCACATGGCCACTGTAGCATCCCTGTGGTCAGGTGATCAAAATTTGAACCCTTGGCAACTGGCATGCATTCATGTATTTGCAATATACTGGGGGCATGTGCTCACCTTTTGCAACCTTCTGACAAGCCAAATCAACTGGGAAGCCAGATTTATTTAACTACTGTGGTACTGACATAATCACCTGTGGTACTGACATAATCAACTGCAATGGTTCACTTAACAACTGTGGCAAGAAAGATCATAAAATGGGGTAAAATTGACTTAACAACTGTCTTGCCTAGCAACTGAAATTTTGGGCTCAGTTATGGTCACAAGGACTACCTATACTGTGAATGTTAGGGTATTTTGAATTCTGATAAATGTGTCACAAATTTGCTTAAAGTAGATGTGCTGTGTAAGTCCACCAGCAGGTGGAGATCGTGTCTAATTCTTGTATTTCCTCTGGTTTTCCAGCAACGCTTTTAACATGGCTTCAATAAGGCGGCAGTTACTTCTACTTCCGTCCATCCTGTTCCTTTCACTGCAGTTGCCTGGCCAGATGTTGGAAAAGAGAGAAAGGGTGGGAAGAAAACAACTTTCCTTGGGGAAAAGGACTAAGAGAAAATGTGACCCCAGATGGCCCAAGTCTCCTTCCATAAATGCAACGCTTATGCATTCTTCTTTTATGATCTTGTAATAAACTAAGGAGCTGTTCCTCATGTAATAGCCTTGACTCCGTATATTTCTTCAGGAGCAACCAGTAGCTTTTAAAAGAAGCAAGTTGGTTTGATTTATATTTGCCTATATTTTAAATCAGACTTTTCCAAACTTGTGCCCAACAAATGGCTTTGATGCTAGAGATGATGAAGAAGGTCAAATATTCTGGAGAATATCTGATTGCAGAAGGATATACAGGAATGTACCAGGGCCAAATTGAGCCCATGTAGTTTTTACGTTCACTCTAACTATACTTCCCTTTCTATAACAAATAGTTCTTCCCTCCCCTCCTTTTCTGCAAATTATATATCTGCTCATCTCAACAGCACCTCTGGATGACTTACAAACAATATACAGTTATCAGCAGAAAAATAAATTTAGTGGTTTTATATATTAATCCCCAACTAAAACCAGAACTTGTACTAATTGATGGACATGGTAGATTTCCTGGAACAGAAGTTAATTTGCATGGGACTAAGACTTGGGTATTGGGAATTTATGCCTCTGATGACAGTAAAGTACTGTTTTATAAACAAGTTATAGAGATACTAATCATTTTCTTTTGAAAATGAATGTTTGATAGCAGATTAAAATTGAGTGATTTTTCCCCACAGCTGGATAGAACTTCTGAGGAGAAAAATCTATAAAATACCCCTTGCATATATAGGCAAACCTGGAGTCCTGACAATACTATGCTTAAGGTTTTGTGAATAACCAGGTTCTTCAGATGCAGCCATGAAAAACGTGTTTTTTAGGTCTCATTGAATTGAAAATACTAGGACATAATGAAGAATTGAACTTCTATTGATTCATTTTTAATAAAATCTGAGTGTGGAACTGGGTGTGTGTGTGTATATTTATTTTCTGATGAACAGACGAACACTATACAGAAGCCTGATGATGGCAGATGAGATTCTGCCAAAACGTTGCAACAACTTTAAAAGCACAACTACAATGACGTGGGAAAATACCCGAACAAAGCTGAATACCATACATGTAAGTACCCGTGAAAATTTAAGAAAATGTATGTATGTATGTATGTATGTATGTATGTATCCTATATATAGGCTAACTTTATTCAGTAACCAGCCAATTGTTTTCTGAGCACAAAATTATTTTAACACCAGCCTTGATATACACAGAAATGTGGCCAGGGTTGTAGCTGATGCTTCTTAATCTTTTGCAATTGTTAAAATGATGAGAGGAATTTATTAAATAACTCAAGGTAATGAACATATCCAAAACACCTTCCTCCTCCTGTTTTCCCTACAACAACAGCCCGGTGAGGTGAGGTAGTTTGAGAGAGAGTGTCTGGCCCAAAGTCACAAAACTGGCTTTCTTAAGTTAAAGAAGTGGGGGAAATCTATAAACATTCATATTTTCAACATCCATACTCAGAAGGATAACCATCATCAGTTCACCAAATGAAGCATAACAAAAGAATAACATAAGCATAACATTTTCTAACTTTATTATCAAGAAATGCTTTTCTTGGGAGTTCCAACTACATTCCAAATTCACTGCATTTCTGACAGTTTTTAATTTAATCTTACTTGTATTGTTTGGAGCAGAATCTTAAATTTATCACTGCAGGGTTATGAGAAAGATTAATCCTCTTTGAAATATTAGTGGTTCGTGACCTTGCAATGTGTGAGAAACCCTGTTCTTTTATCGTTGTTATGACTAGCTGTGCTTCTCTAAAATCTCTGTTGAAATAATAATACTGTTTTTAAAAATGCTTTGGTATGTCCTCATTATTTTAGTATTTCTCCTTTTGAAAGGCAATCGGGATAAATTCTTATTAGAACCAGAGGTTCCCTATTTAAATAATACAACTCCTGGCTTCCATTAATATATTCATCAACTCCCTGAGATCATCTACCTTCTGTCAGGTCTGCAGCATCCTTCCCTTTCTCTTATTTTCACAGACAACTAACATATCTATTTTTTTTTTATTCATTTAGCAATTTATGGCCTTCACTAGTTACCACTGTTGTATTGCAAGCTTTAATCTCCCATACATTATAGTCGTCCATAGAAGAGAATATATATAACTCAGGGCTGAACTGTGGAGCCTGTGGTGCTCTCTGCACTTGCTTCCTTGCAGACATTTCAGGTAACATCATGAAGTAATGTAACAGCTGATCACATTACCTAACCTGGGTAATGAAATGTCGGCAAACAATCAGCACCAAGAGCTCCATCTTAGTCATCAAGAGATGGGTCCATTCACCTCTACCTCCCATTAGAGCTTTAGATACCATTTAGATTTTCACATAATGCTTTCGTAAAGACAGAAAAGGTATAATCTAGATCAGGGGTCTCCAACCTTGGCAACTTTAAGACTTGTGGACTTCAACTCCCACAAGTCTTAAAGTTGCCAAGGTTGGAGACTCCTGATCTAGGTTACCCATTCTTCAAGCAGCACTTGCTACTAGTAAGGACCATACTGGTCAGTTTGGCTACAGATGAATCTTTTGTGTATCAGTTACTTGAACAGTCTTAGGAAAAGATTAAGTATGTACGAGGAAGTCAGTTCTTCCATCTAAGTTACATTCTGAAATGGAGTAAAGGAGAATATCCATCCAGTCATGATCTGCCACATACCGTACCCCACTTAGTTCCCCTACTACTCTTCCTCTCTTCAAAGCATTCTGACACATGAAGAATTCATGGACATTTAATACTACTTTATAAAATTTCAGGTAGCCTAACATTACCTCCATGGATTTTTTTGTTGTTTTTTTCCTTATGGCCAGCAAAGCTCCTGCTGCATTTTTTTTCCTTGGAAACTTACCGATATTATTGCAAGATTAAGAGGGCAATTTGTATGGCACACACAACACATTTTTGGTCACTGGTCTCTAATCCACAACCCAATGTTTTCTTGTCTAAATTGGTGCCTTACTCTGCTTGGAGAGCTAGCTGAGCATTTGAGTTGAAGAAAGAGCATGACTAGAGTTTTACCATTTGGTGAAGGTTTTCTATACTGTTCTTTCTGTTGGCAGAACAAAATAGCGAGCCAAAAACAGTTGGCACTTCAATAATTCATAGAGTTTTTATGTGCATTTTCATGCTCATTCCTGCCATCTTTTGTGTACAATAGGCCTTAGTAGATGAAATGCTTAAAAACTGAAATTAATACTGCACTTGGCAAGCAAGCTGAAAATCTAGCTAATAGCTAAGTGATCTCTGGAGGTATCATAGTATATTGTTGCTTGGAAATACACACACACACACACACACACTATTTCTGTCACAGCAGTATACATTGCCAGACAGGAAATTTGAAATGAATAAAAATGTTACAATTAGAAAGATGCCTCTCTTTTTTATTCTCTCTATTCACAATTCTATCTAATCCTAACCCAACAATAGCATTTTGAGTTCCAGCCTTGTGCCCTCTAAATGGGACTTCAGTCCCCATCCAGCATCACAAAATCCTGCAGCTGATCCATTGGACAAACTGATTTAAATGCTTATTTTAGAGCATCACTTTTCAGGTCAAATACACATTAAAAAAAAGACTTAGAAGTGAAGCATCAAGGTTGAAGTAATTCTTGTATGTTTATACTAAGCATTTATTTCGAAATATCTGCCCGTAATGAAAAGTAGCTCACATAAACAAGTCAGCTGTAGTTATAATAATGAAAAGCAGCTAAAATAAACATGTTGAGAATTATAGTTGTACGAGTTAAAACATGCTTTCGCATGATACACTCATAACCCTGTGAATCTCATCCAACTGGTGCCCTAAATTAGGGAACTCCTATTTCATTAGATAGGCCTTGTATTCTTTTAAATTAGGAGGAGATATTCAGAGGCCTTATTCATGTACAGTTTTAGGCTTAGCAGTAATATTTCCTAAAATGTAACCTAGAGGAGACATCTATTCATTCCAAATTCTACCCATTCTTCTTTAAATGCAGTAAGATAGTTGCTTTTAAGGTGGTTGTTTTCTCTTTATTCTCCCCTCCAAATCTTAGTAATCCAAAAACGAAATGTGGTCACCTGGCAAACTCACCCTTTTTAGAAGTGATTCTATGTGTAATGGACCCTTGTGGTTGATAAGCCAGCAGTTTTTTTTGGGGGGGGGGGGGGCAGTTGGGGTGCTATTACCTAAGTAGGAGCAGCTAAAAAAAATCCCCACCCATAAATTAGATTGCTAAAGAATAACTCTTTAAAAAAGGAAAGTAGAAGTTTGCTTATGTATTTGTTTATTTTGTGCACATTGCTATCAGCTAGCTTCTTGGCCTTTCACAACCCCCCTTCATTGGAGGAATGTGTGAGGAGGGGAGCATTCCTGGAAGGAATGGGTAAAGGAAGCCATAAATATACACCAAGAGTATATATTCACCCAAGACACAAAGGCAAACCCACTTGCCCAGCTAAAGCAAGAAGGTACTTGGGAAAATATTTAAAGCAAAGAGAGAAAAGGAAAATGTATTTTGATGACATGACATGTCTATGCCTACAAAAATCAGAATCAAGCAGGCAATGGTTTTCCCAGTAACACTCCATGGAAAAGACAGACTTTGGACTGGACTGGACTGGACTGGACGGTATTTTCATTTTTGAACTTTGGTGCTCAAGACTCCTGAGAATATCCTAGATAGCCAAGAAAACAGATAAATGGATCAAAACAAATAACTCCAGAATTCTCACTTGATCTAACTACAGTAAGTGAAGTATCATATTTGAACATACAGTATTATGTGAAGACCCAGCTCTCTGAAGAAGGCTCTACTGCTGGGAAAGGTGCAGAGAAAGAGAAAAAGAGGGCAACCAGCAGCAAGATATTACATAGCAATGGGTACACTACTATAAGACCTGCATGGCCAGTCTGGGAACAGATTGTCCTGGAAAAGGTCTAACTGTGGTTGGTTACTAAGAGTTAACACTGACTTGATGGCACATAATCAGTCAATCGAAATTTCCTGGTCAGATTTTAAAAATACAATTTCCTGCAGTTTTCTTGGTAACATTAGGCAATAAATGATGATAGACAA